TGGACCGTCTTGGGGGGGCCTCGTGGCGCCGCCGCTGGCCAACCTGCAAAGGTTCGGCGAGCCCCGGAGATCCCTCAGAACCCCTTCCGGGTCGGGCGAAAGGGGGGGATAGCAAAGGGGGGGTTTGAGAATCAGCTCACGTAGCTGATTTCCCCGGCGCCTCCCGGCGCCAGAGGCGGCCATGTATCGAGGAATGGGCCCCTCGGTGAGGCCGAAACCAGCTGCATGCAACAAATTTCGTAACCCCCCCTTTCCCAATCCCCCCCTTTCGCCCGGCCCGACCCTTCCAGGGGCGTCCAGCAATCGACTAGACTGGGACGCACAGAGACATACTAATACTATGTGTCCTCGGTGGAGGCGCGCGTCCGACCCGAACATCTAGCATACCCATATTGTAGTATATCGTTTCCCGAGTGGTGTGGTCAGAAAGCGCCCGCCACGAAGCATGTACTGTAAGATTTCTCGGTGCGCGCGTCGCCCCTGCGGGGGCGACGCACATATAGTATAAGTATGTTGGGGTGACGCCGATATACATAAGAGTGACCCTAGGCAAGAGTGACCTTTGGTGCGCGACTTAACGGGGGACGCGGGGTAGCCAACCCTTGGCGCGCAAGCCGCTGCTGCCGCTTCGCGTTCGGCGATCCGGGGACCCCACTGGGCCCGCACCCAAAGGTCCCTCCGGCGAAAAGTCACTCTTACGTCTAGTCGAGAGAAGGCCCTGGGGCCCGGGATCCCGGGAAGGGTTTCCACTAGAGGCCTCCCAGCTGGGGTCGGAGTAGATGGGGTCGGAGGATCGCGCCGCATCGCCGTTGCATCGCCGTTTTATCGGCGATGCATCGGCGATGTGTCGGCGATGCACCAGCGACGGCGGCGGTGCATTGACGACGCCGGCGTGAAGGAAACCGTGCTCCACATCGAGCCGCATCGGCGATGCATCGCAGCCGAAGACAAGATGCGCAGTGGCTGAGATCACCACGGGCTGGAGGCTCGCAGCCCAAGGAAGGCAGGGCCGAAGAGAGCCATGGCCGGGAGCCGGGCTGGAGTGGTCAGCGCGCGTCGGCCAACGTCTTGCGGAGGGCCCGTGCCATGGAGGGGTGGGTGCAGCTTCCGCGAGCACCCTCCAGGGCGCAGCCCATCGCTGGCCGTTCTCGTTGTCTGGGCGCGAGGGGGACAGTAGATGGACAATAGATTCGAACCCTTACACATTCGAAGGAGATTATGAATCGCCCCCGCGCCCCCGACATCAATGCTGATCTCAGTAAAGGCGCGGTGCTTTGGGGTTCGAATCTTTCTGTCCACTCACGCCCCCTCCGTCGCCACGCCACCAACACTGATTTCGGGGGGTCTGGGGTGCATCTTGGGCCACAGGGTTCGAATATGTCCATGCGCGGGAGGTGGAAAGGTCAGGAGGAGGAGGAGGAGGAGGAGGAGGAGGAGGAGCAGGAGGAGGAGGAGGAGGAGGAGGAGGAGGAGGAGGAGAGGAGGAGGAGGAGTGGGGGTGGAGGAGGAGGAGGAGGAGGAGGGAGGAGGAGGAGGAGGAGGAGGAGTTCAGGAGTGAATGCGTCGTCACACTGGGGTGGCCTTAGGTCGACGAGCCGAGAGTGGCCGCACCGACCCCGCGAGCTCCGGCCTCGGGCGGGGGGCGGCGGCCGGCCCTCCGCGTGGCCGCCACGGCGCTCGCGCGGCGGGCGCGCGCAGAGCTAGACCCCCTTGGAGGAGGAGGAGGAGGAGGAGGAGGGGAGGAGGAGGAGGAGGAGGAGGATGAGCAACGAGGAGGAGGAGGAGGAGGAGGAGGAGGAGGAGTCGACGGATGAGCAACGAGGAGGAGGAGGAGGAGGAGGAGGATAGGAGGAGGAGGAGGAGGAGGAGGAGGAGGAGGAGGAGGAGAAGAGGAAGTCGACGGATGAGCAACGAGGAGGAGGAGGAGGAGGAGGAGGAGGAGGAGAAGGAAGTCGACGGATGAGCAAGGAGGAGGAGGAGGAGGAGGACCATTAGGAACATTGGGGCAGCCCGACAGCGCAGGTCGGGCAGTGCCCAGAAGGAAGTGGGACACCTGGGTCAAATCCTGGAGCGCTGAGCCTCTCGGACTGTACGAGGGGGGCCTCCAGAATGCGGACATTCGCCCCGACGAATTCGGGCAAAGTTCTGCCTGCCTCAGGAGGAGGAGGAGGAGGAGGAGGAGGAGGAGGAGGAGGAGGAGGAGAACGACGAGGAGAAAAAGGAGGAGGAGGAGGAGGAGAAGGAGGGGGAGGAGGAGGAGGAGAAGGAGGAGGAGGAGGAGGAGGAGGAGGAGGAGGAGGGGTAGGGGGAGGAGGACAAGCTAGGTGCGCTCGCGTCAAATATGAAGTCCTACTCCTCCCTTCCATCCCTTACCATGTCGTAGATCTCCTCTCTATTCGCACTATCGGATGTCGTAGCATTGCGAAATATCAATTACATGGCATAGCATAGTGTTGAAGAAGAACGCGTAGCATGACATAGCATGGCGTGGCGACGCCCCAAAGTGGTGGGGGGCTTCTGCGGCCCACAAAATCAAATAATCGGCACCGAATGTGCAATCATTTCCGATGGTTTTTCGGGAATCCTGTCTTTAGATGTTGGGTCCTAGTTGGAAGGACCGAAAACCATGCCGTGGCATGGCACTGGAAATAATGACGCCACCGCTGCAGCGGGAACACGATTCGGAACGAGCGGAAGCGCGGAAATGAGGCCACCGCTGCAGCGGGAGCACGATTCGGAACGAGCGGTAGCCCGAAAATGAAGCCAGCGCTTCAGCGAGAGCAGCATGTTGACAAAAAACAAGCGCGGAAGCGCGGAAATGAGGACGCGTAGCCTGACACAGCACAACATAACGACGCTCCAAACCCAACTCCCGAGAATCCTGCATGCAAACAAAAACAATACGCGCGGGGGGGGGGGGGCCGAACTATCCCTGGACGCCACATATTATACGGTTTTTATTGAGGAGGAGGAGGAGGAGGAGGAGGAGGAGGAAGGAGGAGGAGGGGAGGAGGAGGAGGAGGAGGGGAGGAGGAGGGGAGGGAGAGGAGGGAGGAGGAGGAGGAAAAGGAGGATGAGGAGGAGGAGGAGGAAAAGGAGGAGGAGGAGGAGGAGAAAAGGAGGAGGAGGAGGAAAAGGAGGAGGAGGAGGAAGGAGGAGGAGGAGGAGGAGGAAAAGGAGGAGGAGGAGGAGGAGGAAAAGGAGGAGGAGGAGGAGGAGGAGGAGGAGGAGGAGCGGGGGATGGGAGAGGCGCCGGGGCGGCACCGACGGGGGGAAGCCGTCGGATATCCAGAAACATGGCCCGCGCCGGGGCGACGGCGCCATCCGGACGACGGGTGCTCTCCAGCAGCGGCTCCCCGCCGAGAAGCGCCCAGCCCAGACCTCCTCGAGTCATGAAAAAATCACGACGGGAGGTTTTTCGCTATTTTCGGCCTCTGAGGGCCCTTACCGGGCCTCGGGACCGTCAAAAAACGACTCGGGATGAAAAACCGGTCCCGGGGAATGGGTCTGGACCTCTGGGGGTCGCGTCATGAAAAAAATCATGACGTCGGGGGTCTGGGAGGGGGGGCCCGCCTCGTCCCGGCCGGCCGCGGGAGACCCGAGGGTGTATGATGTGGCGGCCAGGTGACACGAGCATCGCTGAAAGGGGGGGGAATCATCGGCTCAGGGAGGGGGAGGAGGAGGAGGAGGAGGAGGAGGAGGAGGAGGAGGAGGAGGAGGAGGAGGAGGAGGAATAGGAGGAGGAGGAGGAGGAGGAGGAGGAGGCGCCGATCCTGAGCTGGGGCTAACGCTGCAGCGGGGACACCACTGCGAAACACAGAAGGCATCCTGCTGGGGAAAAAGCATTTAAAAAAAAAGGCTCTAAACGCAGAGAGTGAAGAAAAAGCCGCCCCCGCTCGGAGAGGGTCCAGGGAGAGAGGCAAGGAGTGCTCATATGGAGTACGTATATTTCTGGAATAGGGAGCGAAAGAGACGGAAGAGCGGAAACAAAAGGGGAGTGATGATGTGAGAAACATGTGAGAAACAAAGGGGGCAGTAGAACGTAGGGAACAGGGGAGGAAGCAGGGGAAAGACGAGGGAGTGAAGAGGGAAAAGGTGGAAAAATTGTAGAAAACATAATAGGAAACATAACTGCGTAGGGAAGGAAGAGAAAGACTGCAGAAACCAAAGGCATGACCACCTTGAGGAATGAGAGGGCTCACGCTCTTGACCCCCTGACACGTGTTCATCCGAATTCCTCCTGATCTTTCTGCTGCTCGTTTTCTTCCTCTCCTCCTTCTCGGACTATTCCGGGTCCCCTGCTCATCATGTCATTCCTTTTTTTGTTTCCCCTGTGCAGTCAAGAAGCCTGGGCCTGCTGACTAAATCGGTGAACGGCGGTGGGACAAACAAGCGAGCAACAAAGACGGGATGTACGAGCAAGGCGGGAAGATGGTGCGGAGGGAGAAGGAGGAGGGAGGAAAGAGAAGGGATGCCTCTGAAAGGCTTTCGTGCTGGACAGGGGGAGCCGTGTCAAGGACCGACCATTTCCTGATCGATTGCTCCCCGCACGGATCTGAGATGGCCCAACACAATCCCAAATTACTCCAAGAGACCCCAAGAGGAACCTCCCGAAAAGGACCCCAAGAGAGCCTCAGGAGAGCCCCACGATGGCTGCAGGAAGCTCGCAGGGCCCCCTGATTTGGCCAGCAGTGGGGGCTGTTCGGACTGATCCCAACTTTGGTTTGACGCATGCCCCCCATTAAAGCTTTTGCGGTGGTGTTCCCTCTTCCCTTTTTCGCGCCAGCTCGCCTTGGATCATTGCTGGATGGGCTGGTGAGGATCCGTGCGTTGTTGAGAATTGGTTGTGAATGCCACCAGGCCAAGGTCTCCACGCGGGAGCAAGGCCCTTGATGAAGATGGCCAAACGGGTAACGGGACAGACTGTAGAGGATTGAACGGGAAGGAGAGAGGGATAAGAGGACGGGGGCGGAGAAGGACGACGGAGTGCGTAGGCAGTCCTGTTTCCCTTCTGCCCCTTCTTCTTGCTGTTGGCCGCTCGAGCAGCGTTGAGCTCCTCGGCAGGGCTTGCGCGCAAATTCTAAAGCATAGTGCGGCGAATAACAAACTGGACGAGTGTGGGCAGATATGCTGAAACGAGTGCGTGGAGCATCTAAATCTAAACATTTATACATGTGCACATGGATGCGCGTGTGTATACACATATATGTGCACATGCGTATACAATGTCTACACCGAATCACACATATGTAGGTTGGTGTTGTGTATGTATATGTATATATAATACACATTGCATCCACACATGTGCGTGGATGTGTGTATACATGGTTGCGTGGGCGCATGCAAAAAGTAACAACAGCAACATCAACGACACCATCAGCAACAATTATTTCCAGACTGTTCGCCCGCTCGCCTGCCAATCAACACGTACAGTATACCCCGGACTCTCGATACCTGCCCTTTTTCGTCTTCGAACGTACACCCTCAGGGGAATCTTTTATATACCTGCAACGTATATTTCGTGCAGCCTCTAAGGCAAGGGACGGGAGGACGGAGGAAAGGAAGGAACAAGGGTTAGGGAGGAGGATGGATCGCACTCCACTACGGGGAGAAAGAGAGATAGAGAGAGAGAGAGAGAAAGAAAGTCCGACGGTCAGCCGAAAACCTCAGGGGGGGTCCATCCGAGAGGAACTTTTTGCCACCCTGGCAGGAAGGCCGAAGACCTGCCAGGGGCCAGCGACAGGAACCCCCCTAGGAAAAAAGCTCGCCGTCTTCGTCCTGGGGCATGTCTTCATGCCCTTTACTCTTCAACAGGGCTCCCAGCTTTCGGGCTTCGCCTTCGTTCAAACCGAACGCTTGGAGGCAGTCCGCCAGGCGCAGGTCTCGAGGCCCCGCAACAAACTGAGCAGCCACGTGCCGCTCTCCCCCCAGCTGGGCTCCTTCTTCCTGAAAGCCACCCGCGAACAACTCCCGAGAACGCTCCCCAGGAGTCACCCAGGAGCCCAGCCTGAGGGGGCGGTTCGGATGCTTGCCCTTGAAAAAAAAACCTTCTTATTCTTCTTCCCTGGATCTACCAAGGCTACCTGGGAGCCCTGACAGGCACTCTTGAGGCTTTGAGGCCTGGCGCCTATGGTCGCATACGCCCCACAAGTGGAGCAAAACAACAACGGGGCCTGATCTTGGCCCGAAACGGGGAACTCCAGGAGCTGATGGCCTCCTGCGGCCCAAGGGAACTGGGCCGCATCAGCAGCCTGACGAGCTAACTCGGGCGCCAAGGGCTCAGAGGGGGCCTGAGGCGGGGCGCAAGCAGCAGCAGCAGCAGCCTCCTCCTCCTCCGCCTTCCTCGCCCAGCCCTCGGCCTGGGCCCACGCTGGGTCGCCCTCGAGTGAGACCAAGGTGAGCCCCTGGGCACCAATATTATCGTATCGGCCCTCTTCAGAGTAAAAAACTGCTGCTCTGGTTATGAACTTTATGAGCTGCCGAGCTAGAAACAGCATGCATTTGCACAGCATTATGTCCTGCTGGTCATGTCTACCCAGCTCTGCACCGGCTTTCGCCAGTCTGTCAGCCTGGGTGTTGCCAGTCCTCCCGAATTCAGAAATTCGCCCCTCACGGACATCAACCATCGAAGAGTGGGCAACCACCTTTTTCCAGCCGGCTTCCCCAAGCGAGCCCTGGGCGAAAGTCTCACGCCAAAGGTGGGCCCGCACATTGCTAGAACGGCAAGCGAACCTGGGATCAGCAAGGCACTGAAGCGTGCCCTTGCAATCAGAGTACAAGGTATACGAGCCGCCAATAAATCTGGCAACTATAAGAACAGCAAAGTCTTCGCCGTCACGGGCGACCTGATCTGGGCAGCGAGTGGGAGGGACAGCTCCATACCACCCAGCCACCCATCTGCGCTCATGGTCGTAGGTGGCGATCCCCCAACCTCAAACTCTGAGCGGAGGAAAAAGGCCATCCATGCCAGAGCCGTCACAGAACACGTGGCCTCCCTGGAGCACGAGCGGCGCACCCTGCCCTTCAACCCTGAACTCCCACGACGGACCCCAAGGTCGGCGCGAGATCAACTGACAGGGATCAGGGAGGATGCCTCGGGCAAAGCGCCCCTGGAGGTCCACCGAGAAAGTAGACAGTCTATGGGCAGCAGCTTTAACTTCAGGCGGAAGATTGTCCCTTCTCCAAGGGGCTCTGACAGGGCAACAAAAGTGCCCATGGAAAAAGGGTACCCTGCTCACCACAGAGCAGACATGCACACGACAGTGCTGCATCATGTTGGTGCAGTCTGTACTGGCACCAGTGCGAGCCTATGACCAGCCCCCATCAAGGTCCGCTGCTCTCGAAATCCCCAGGGGCCCCCCGAACCAGTAGACGCCTCCGCCCCCGACTCATCTCCAGGGACCTTGAGGTGCAGCAACTCATTGAGCGGCCTCCAAAAGATGCCTCCCACCCACGACCTCCCGCCGCCGACTTTCTTGAGGCCTGCCTCGTCAGAGTGCCGCCTGGCCGCAAAACGGGCACGTCGTGCTACAAACGCTGGGGAAGCATCTTTCAAAAGCCACCTCCCTCCTGAGGCTTCAGCAACCGTCCAGGGGCCCAGGAAGCGAAAGCCCACACGGGCCATCGTGAGCACTAACGCTCCCACGGGGTCTTTGACCTGAGCCCAGGGTTTGGGCCGCTCGGCCAGGGCGAAGGCCGCGGCAAAAAGGGCCGAAAAAACTGGGTCAGTCAGCGTGCCATCCTGCAAAATCTGCACATAAATCTTGATCGCGTCAGACGTGAGCAGAACAAGAGGGTCACGAGCCCAACCTCCTCGCGTACACATGGAGGCTAGCTCTAGCGAGCTTCCTCTCGGCAGACGGCCCTCCGCACGGAGAGCTGACACCCTCAAGCCCTTCAGTTTGCCGTTCGGGAGGCCCTGGATGTTGGCCCCCCAAAGGGCCTTGGCCGAGACCCCAGCTCGAAAAACATTCCCGACGGACGCCCCAGCATGAGTGCAAGTACCAGGAGGGCTAGGAACAGAAAACACGTTGCAGAACCAGACGGGCAGATCGGGCGGGTAGACCCTAACGGGCGGATCGGGAAGGCGAGCCCAGGCGGCCAGGTCGAGCAGGCGGATTGCTGAAGCATGCGTCCTGCATGAATCGTGCGGAAATCTCGAGCGATAGCGCGATTCACGGATAAATCGTGACGAAGCCCACAGCAAGAGCGTGATTCCTGAATGTCGAGGGCGCGGCGTTTGAATAAATTGTAGTGGGGTCCCAAGCGAGAGCGCGATTTCTATATGATCAATTTGAAGATGTCCTGCGCGAGAGCGCGATTTGGGAATCAATTGTGAGGAAGAATCAGGCGGGAGCCGCTGTTGTTGTAAACCGGAGGCCAGCAACACAGCTTGGGGGCCCCTCAGTTTCCACTGTGAAAAAGTATCCCAGTGCGACCCTACCTAGGAGTTGGAGCCTCTAGGAAAGCAACATTAGTAGGAGCGGTGAACACCGTGGAAAGATCGTGCTGCGCTATGCTATGCTATGCTCTGCTATGCTATGCTATCCTTGCGATATATATGTATAGCAGCAATAAAAATGGATGCGGTGCTGCGCTATGCTACGCTACGCTATGTTATGCTCTGTTATGCGATGCTATGCTATGCTATGCTATTATATGCTATGTTATGCGATGCTATGCTGCGCAGTGCTATGCTGGGCTAGGCTAGGCTAGGCTATGCTATGCTATGCTGCGCTATGCTATGCTGCGCTGTGCGATGCTAAGCTATGCAATGCTATGCTTTTGCTTTGCCTTCGCTTTTGCCTTCACTTCTGCCTTTGCTTTTGCTTTTGCTTGGCACCCAGGGAGCGCAACTGGGGGAACCGCGCGTTTGCTTTTACCTTTGCTGTTGCTTTTGCTTGGCTCCCAGGGGACTGGGGGAACCGCCCGGGGCGGTTTACACTGCCCGACCCCTTTAAGCGAACAGAGTAAGAACCCTTCTAGGCAGAGCCTAGGTAGGGGAAAAGCTTGGTGAGACCCGGAATAAGCACTTTAATTGGAAAATTCTCTGGTTCCTGGAGGGGGGTTCCACAAACGTTCTACATTCTTTAGAAACAAGAAAACAACAACCATCAGTTTGAGACTGTTCGCCGTTATCTGCTCGAGTGTCCAATAACGCGTATTTCCCAAACCCTCGATACCCGCCCTCTTCGTCTTCGATCGAACCCCTTTTGGAGGGTATACATTTCTTTCCTGCAGGCCGGGCCCCGGCAAGCGGCGGGGCGGCCGCGGACCGTCGGCCTGGCCAGCGGCAGCGCTGATCGGCGGGGCGGTCGCGGACCGTCGACCCGACCCCAAGAGGGACGGACAGGGGACCGACCACGACGACGACGACGACGACGACGACGACGACGACGACGACGACGACGACGTCGAAGACGACGGCGACGACGACGACGACGGCGACGACGACGAAAGCGAGAGCGAGAGAGAACGACAGCAGGGCCACGAAGGGCACGAAGTAGGCCACGAAGGGCGAGAGCGGGGACACGAAGGGAATGCGTATGGGGCCACGAAGAGCGCGAACGAGCGGGGGCCACGAAGGGCAGATAATGCGGGGCCACAGAAGGCAACGATGGGGCCACTGAGGGTAGCAACTGGGCCACGTAGGACAGTGAGGGGGCCACAAACGGCGACAGCGGGGCCACGAAGGGCACGCACATGGGGCCACAACGGGCGCGAACGAGCGGGGGCCACGAAGGGCATAGTATACTGGGCCGCGGAGGGCAAGGACGGGGCCACTGAGGGCAGCAACGGGGCCACGAAGGGCAGCGAGGGGGCCACGAAAGGCGACAGCGGGGCCACGAAGGGCATGCATATGGGGCCAACACGGGCGCGAACGAGCGGGGGCCACGAAGGGCATACGTATATGGGGCCACGAAGGGCAACGAGGGGGCCACGAAGGGATGCAACGGGGCCACGAACGGCAGCGAGGGGGCCACGAAAGGCTGCAACGGGGCCACGAAGGGCTGCAACGGGGCCACGACGGGCAGCGAGGGGGCCACGAAGGGCTGCAACGGGGCCACGAAACAAGGCGAGGAGGCCACGAAGGGCTGCAACGGGGCCACGAAGGGCAGCGAGGAGGCCACGAGGGGCTGCAACGGGGCCACGAAGGGCAGCGAGGGGGCCACGAAGGACTGCAACGGGGCCACGAAGGGCAGCGAGATCCCGATTCCTAGGTAATCTGTGAGGGAGTCCTAAGCGCGAGCGCGACTCCTGGATGCCTGGGTGTCGGGAGCGCGGCGCTTGAGTAAATTTGAAGAAATTCCAACGCAAAGGCGCTATTCTTCAGTAAATTGCAAGCAAGTCTCCAGCGAGAGCGCGACTCCAGAGCGCCGGGAGAGCGATTCCTAAATTGTAAGGAAGTCCCAAGCGAGAGCGCGATTCCTGAATAAAATGCGAGGAGGCCGGGCGGGAGCGGGGGTCCTGATCAAGTTTGGAAGATGTCTCAGGCGGGAGCCGTTGTTGTTGTAACCCGGGGGCCAGGGGCCCAGTTTGAGCCTCAAGACTTTCCCTGGTAAAAAACAGGGTGCGAGCGTCGAGGGGCGCACTTCGATGGAGAAAAAACAATATGCACCGGTGGGGGGATCAGCAATACTTACTCTTCAAAAATAATTTTCAATAATCATTTAAGAACTGTTCGCCCTTATCTGCTCGAGTGTCCAATAACGCGTATTCCCCGAACCCTCGATACGCGCCCTCTTCGTCTTCGATCGAACCCCTTTTGGAGGGTCTACTTTTCCTGCAGGCCGGGCCCCGGCAAGCGGCGGGGCGGCCGCGGACCGTCGGCCTGGCCAGCGGCAGCGCTGATCGGCGGGGCGGCCGCGGACCGTCGACCCGACCCCAAGAGGGACGGACAGGGGACCGACCACGACGACGACGACGACGACGACGACGACGACGACGACGACGACGACGACGACGACGACTCGACGACGACGCGAAGGCGAGAGCGAGAGAGAACGACAGCAGGGCCACGAAGGACACGAAGTAGGCCACGAAGGGCAACAGCGGGGACACGAAGGGAATGCGTATGGGGCCACGAAGAGCGCGAACGAACGGGGGCCACGAAGGGCAGATAATGCGGGGCCACAGAAGGCAACGATGGGGCCACTGAGGGCAGCAACTGGGCCACGTAGGACAGTGAGAGGGCCACAAACGACGACAGCGGGGCCACGAAGGGCACGCACATGGGGCCACAACGGGCGCGACTCCTGGGTGCCTGGGTGTCGGGAGCACGGCGCTTGAGCAAATTGCAAAAAAACGACGCAAGGGCGCTATTCTTCAGTAAATTGCAAGCAAGTCTCCAGCGAGAGCGCGACTCCAGAGCGCCGGGAGAGCGATTCCTAAATTGTAAGGAAGTCCCAAGCGAGAGCGCGATTCCTGAATAAAATGCGAGGAAGTCCCGGGCGGGAGCGGGGATCCTGATCACATTTGAAAGATATATGAGGCGGGAGCCGTTGTTGTTGTTGTTGTTGCAACCCGGGGGCCAGGGGCCCAGTTTGAGCCTCAAGACTTTCCCTATTAAAAACAGGGTGCGAGCGTCGGGGGCACACTTTGATTGAGAAAAACAGTATGCACCGGTGGGGGATCAACAATAATTATTCTTCATAAGTGAGAGTTCAACAGCAACAACAGCAACAGCAACAGCAACAGCAACAGCAACAGCAACAGCAACAGCAACAACAACAGCAACAACAACAACAACAATCATTTAAGACTGGGGACACTCCGTTCTCACCAGTGCCAGGGTTTTCATAGGAGGCGGGCAATGCCCCCACTTTGTGGGGGGGCCGGTTCAAGCTCTACCAAGTTTAGGACGACTCTTCGCCACCACCCACACCCAGCTTCCCGCCCTATGACGTTCGGACACTTCACGTCGTGGCCTGCGGACGACCTTGGCTACTACACTGGCGCATGGGTACAATGACTTGTTGTGGTAACATTTTGTGGAAGCTAGCTTAGTATACGACTTATCCCCCTGTTCCAACACTGGACACCTGTACCGTTTTCCGACGTTTTTCCGTTTGGAAGAATACTGCAGTAGCCACGTCGTTGCGACCTTATCTGATACATACAGTGGTGGATCCAACTGTCGGAGCGCCCCGCATAATTTGAAAGCTGTATTATACTGGATGCCCAGGTGGCGGATGGCAGAGCCGTGCTGCTCCTCCAGCTCCTTGGCGCTAGAAATACTGACCGTGCCAGGCACAACCCGATACTTGCACCACCAAAGCTTGCACGCCTGGTGACTGACCTGGATACCCTTTGCAACGAGCGCCTGATGCAAATAATACGGGCTGCCGCAGTCGGCCAAAGGAGGCCGCGACAGCTCTGGGCCATACTGCTCGTCAAGGGCTTTCGCCGACAAAGCCATGACCCATCCAAGAACACAGGCGATACCTTGATCCGTGATGGCTACGGATGTAACAGTGATAAGTGATTTTGTTCGATGACGTGGTGACACACGGACTTGTTGTGGTAACATGCCGACGACGATTTTCGAGGTCCCACGGTGCGATTCGTATGATTTTATGTTGCGCGGTGCTAAAATTCCTACGAAACCCAATGGTTTTTGAAGATTTCGGCGTGCGCGCGCAAAGAAAAAACGAATGTGTCCCGCATGGTATTATTTGACAGGGATGATGACCCTGGCAGGTGCGCAACGGTTGTTGGAGAAGTTCGAAGCACGTGAACAAGTTGCTCGGAAAAGCCCATTTGACAGAAATGTTTAAAAAGTGTTGGGTTTCCGACAAATCCGCAAGAGCGCGCGGGATGAAATTTTGACATTTTTTTTTTGAAAAACCATTGGTTTTTTGATGTTTTTATGTTGAAATCGCTACGAACACTAAGGTTTTGGAAGGATTTCGTCTTGCGCGCGCGAATGTCCACTTTACCTTATTTTTTGCAAGGGATTCTTGAAGTTTGGTTATGTTAGAACAAGAAATGTCCACTTTAGCTTTTTTTGCAAGGGAAAACGGGGGACAACAAAACAACCGGATCCGGACACCCACGTTTTGCCTGAGACTTCCTCACGAAAATGATGAAAATGTGGCTGCGGCCTAGGCGCGGCGAGGGGGCCGCGCACCAGGGGTCCCAACAATAATTATTCTTTAGAATAAATAATGTTCAACAGCAACAACAACAACAAACATGTGTTAAAGAGTGGGCGCACGAGGCAAATTGGGAAGGAGGGGAAGTGGAAGGGGAAGGCGGGGGGGGGGGACAGAGGCAGAGGAAGAGGGAGAGGGAAGGGGCGGCGGTGAGGGAGAGGGAGAGTAGAAGAAGAAAAAACATATATACATAAACTTTTGGCGTTCCGCGCGGAGCGCCAACAGTTCATGTTGCGGAGCGCCAGAAGTTTGTGTTTATGGCGTTCTCTCTTCGAGGGAGAGGGAGAGGGAGAGAGGGAGAGCGGGAGAGAGGGCAGAGGAAGAAGAAGAGGGAGAGGGAAGGGGCAGCGGTAAGGGAGAGGGAGAGGGAGGGAGAGAGGGAGAGCGCGAGAGAGAGAGACACACACACACACACATACACACACACACACACACCGAGTGGCAGCGCGCGTCCGCGTGCGGCCGCCGGGGCTGGACTCGCCCCGCACGGCAGACCTTTCTCACCTGGGCGGCTCCTTTTCAAAATGTGGCTCTCGCCTTAACGCCGCGCACAACGTACCAGAAATGGCGTCTTGGAAGGATTCCGGATTTTGCGGGTGCATCAGTTAAGTTGATTCTCTGTGTTGAAGTCCTAGTAATGGCGTTCCGGCACGATTCAGGACCGTCAAGACGCAAAAGTCCAGTTGATCTGCGGCGTTGGAATCCCAACAACAATGTTTTGGCATGCTTCAGGGTCTTCAAACGGATGTCATCCAACGAGGCAGTTCCTTCAATGGACATGAACCGTTTACTCCAACATCGTTGATGGCTCTTGGATTTACACTGGTCCTCCTCCTGCTCCTCCTCTTCCTCCTTCTCCTCCTCCTCCTCCTCACCCCTCTCCCAGTCCTCCTCCTTTCTCCTCCTGCTCCTCCCTTTCTCCGACTGCTCATCCATCTCTCCTCCTGCTGCTCCTCCACCTCCCCCTTCTCCTCCTCCGCCGCGGCCTTCTGACCCTCCGAACTGTTTTTGTTTGTCTCTCTCTCTCTCTCTCCCTCTCTCTCTCTCTCTCTCTCTCTCTCCACTTTTTAACTAGACCGAGCTGTCCAATGACTGACTGATTTGCTACTGCTAATGCACACATGCAACAAAGAAGCGCCTGCAAGGGCCGGAGGCCTACACTTCATATGGTAAGCAGCTTTGCGCTCCACAAATCACATCCACTCCTCCTCCGCCGCCATTTCTTCCTGCCCTCATCCTCATTCCCCTGCTCTGATCCTCCCCCACAGATCCTTCTCCTCATCCTCCTCTTCCTTCCCTTCCTCCCCGCTGGAGGCAGGGCCTCTCCTCGGAGGCGGCCACCGCAGCGAGGGGATCGTGGATGACCACGAGCGTCTCCTTCTCGCGCTCGGGCTCAGGTCCTTTCGAGGGGGGGGGGGGGGCGTGGCCAATACCGGCTCCCCCTCCTGCACCCGATTCTTTTGATCCTCCTCCTCCTCCTCATCCGCTTCGGCCCCCGCCTCCGCCTCCTCCTCCTCCTCTTCCATCCCGGGTTTCTAGCAGTGCATGTTGTGCAATCTAGGTGGGGCAATATATGTGATGCAATGTACATTGTGCAGTCCGTGTCTTGCCATATATGTTGAGCAAGTTATGTTGTGCAATGTATGTGATGCCAAATGCACATTTAGATATGTAAAAAAATGTATAGAGAGAGGGCCATCTGTGTTGTGCAATCTATGGTGCGCAATATATGCGGTGAGCATTATGTGGTGCACTATATAAATATGTTTATATATATATAGATGCTCCACCCGAGGGCCTGACCAGAAGGCGCGAGGGAGAGGCGAGAGAAGAGGGAAGCCCCGGAGCTCTCGCCGATCTCTTTTACATATCACTCCAGGTCTGGCAACTGGTCGCCTCCACGAGGCAATCTCGCTAGAAGAAGGGCTGGCTGAATACAAACACGCCTGCAGCCTCAGAGAGGCTAGACGATTCAAAAGCTCCCGGGAGCTCCGAAGAGTAGACGAGCAGACGATTTGGAAAGATTCAGCAGCCGTCACCAAGGAAAAAGCCCACCTTTTTACACAGGGCAGGGCGGGACGGGTCACTGTGAGCCAATACGATTAAGGAGGAGGCCAGGGGAGGAGAGGGAACGCATCAAGACATTCACAACCTCCCCACAGGCGGTGGAGACACGAGGCGTCACCACGGGTCAGATACTGTACTCCGAATCTACAATCGTGCAACTGATGAATAGATGCTCCACCCGAGGGCCTGACCAGAAGGCGCGAGGGAGAGGCGAGAGAAGAGGGAAGCCCCGGAGCTCTCGCCGATCTCTTTTACATATCACTCCAGGTCTGGCAACTGGTCGCCTCCACGAGGCAATCTCGCTAGAAGAAGGGCTGGCTGAATACAAACACGCCTGCAGCCTCAGAGAGGCTAGACGATTCAAAAGCTCCCGGGAGCTCCGAAGAGTAGACGAGCAGACGATTTGGAAAGATTCAGCAGCCGTCACCCATAACCCATATTATGATTCACGGGTGGGCGGGATGGGCAAAATTCACAGAAAAAGATCGTAAAAAGTCTCCTCGAATGATGTGATCAAGCGCTAGTCTGGAAGCGAACTCCTGTGGCGCGAAGCAGCTTTTGTTCGAGGCGATTGGCGGCACGCTTGAACTGCTGCTGCTGTGCAGGCGAGAGGCGGCTGATCTGCCTCAGGAGTCGACCCTCTTTGCCGTGCCTCGCCACGGAGCGGTCGCTGAGCCAGCCCCCGCGCTTCTTCAGCACAGGAAGCATGGCGAGGCCGTTCAAGTAGTCGAGAGAAGGGCCGCCGTGCCGCAGCGTGTGCGGCGACACTTTCAGCGCTGCCAGCCCTAGTCGGTGGCTGGCCTCGCGGAACAGGCGCTCGCAGGTGAACAGCGGAGCTCGTTGAACAGGCGCTGGGCCCGACGCGCTCTGGCTCTGGCGACCAGCTGTCGAACAAGCTGCCGAAGCCAACCACGAGATTGGTCGATAGACCCGACCATCACGGTGTCGTCAAACTGCTGATTCTTGTTGGGCCGAGGTGCTGTGCCGCTCGAAGGGGCCACGATCAGCGCCACCTTGTCATAGCGGTCGCCAGCCCTGCCTGAGGGCAACACCACGTGCTCGAGGGACAGGTTGACTGCAGCCGCTGGACGGAGGTAGGTGTCGAACTGCAAGGCGCCGCAGGCAGCGGCAAGGATGGACTCGGTCGTGCCCAGCTCGAGCCAGTGGTCGGCGATCGCGGCGAACACCTCCCAAGGGCACGGGTCGCGGCTGAGCTCTGGGCAGGCTTTCACCCAGCCCGCCAGAGCTTTCACAGCATGTGGCAGGTTGCGCGAGGGCGCAACGACGCCGTGCAAGTGGGCGTAGCCGAACAGGGTGTGCCGACCAGCCCACGGCTCACAGCCGTCGAAAAAGAGAAAGTCAAAGTACGCGGAGAGGCTGGCGTCTAGCTGCTCGAGAGGAGCCAGCGCCCGGGGCGGGGCCTGCTGGCTGGCCCAGTGGACGAAGTCCGAGGAGCACGACTCGTTGTTGACGAGCGTCCCCTTCCCGACGGTCTTGCGCTCCAGAAACCTGTCGCCGGGGTCGTGTCCCGCGGCGGCCCGTCGGGAGGCCGCCTTAGCAGCACGTCGTCGATCTCGATCTGGTAGCTCCGCGCCGAGGGCCGACCCAGACCACGCGCTGGCCCCAGTGCTTGACGGCGTCCTTCCACGGGCTCTGGTAGCACCTGGGGCAGTGGAGCCTGAAGACGTCGGTCGGGATCGGGCAGCCTCCGGCTCGCGCCAAGTCAGCTTCCCATCGCTCCAGCGAAGTGGCATCGGCCCCGCGGGCCGTGTCTGGAGCCGCCCGGGCCAAGATGGCTGCCCAGGAGCGGCAAAGTCGAGGAGGGTAGCGCCCTGCCAGAGTCGTCTTCCAGGCCCACCGCCCCCGAGCCTCGCCGGGCCCTGGAGGCAGAAGGACTTTCCCTTCAAGAATCTCATGATGATGGTTTCCTGGGCATAGACGATGTAGCCCCTGAAGGGCCTGCATGTTGGTGGCCAGGAGGGTCGGCTTGAGATACCCCGCACCGTATGCACAGTTATCGTATCGGACGAAGATCGCGTTCTGCCTCTGCAGCTCCTTCCTAAGGGGCTTCCAGGAGAAGAGCCTCGAGGAACGCGGGTTCTCGAGTGAGTAGAGGACGCCATACTGCTTGCAGAGTTTGATGAGCCCCAACGAGAACTTGGCCAACTGGAGGCCCCCAAGAGCGGCTGAACTTGAGCCCGTCGTGCGGGCCCTCGACCAAGTAGTGCACGGAGTCCCCAAGTGGAGGTACCACACGAGCCCCTGCTTGACCAAGCCCTTGATGTGCCTCTGGGTCCTCTGCCTCGAGACGTCCATGTGGGGGCCCCTCGAGATCTCGATGGGGCACCCGATGTTGAGGTCGGCCTCCTGACAGGCGGCGGAGAAGGCGGCGCAGCCGGCGAAGATCTCCAGGACGAACTGATGCTGAGCTGACGTCTTGACGACAGGGCTGTTGCTTTTTCTGTGCTGCTCAGTCCGTGCTCGCGGGCCCCGCTGGCGGGTGCGTCGGCGGGGCCGCGCCGCGCCTGGGCTGCATGGAGCGGCAAAATGCGCGCGAGGCCCCATGCGCCCAAGAGGTGACCGCCGTTCGGGCGGAGTCCGAACCCTCGTAGGGGTCGGGGGGGCTGCGGGCGTCTGCCGAGGCCCCATTCGCCCCAGCCCCGACCGCGAAGGCGGCGGTCGGCGGACCCGAGCGCTGGCTCGGGCTGGGGGCGAGTCGGGGGCCCGCGAGCATCGCTGCAGCAGCGCCCGGCCATGCCGGCCAGCGACGGAGGTCCCGGCAGCCAGCTCGCCTCGGTCGGCCGCCCTCGAGTCGAAGTCGGTCGGGTTCCTCTTGCTCTCCACGTAGCGAAGGGACCAGTCGAGCTCGCAGCCGATGGAGAGGGCCCCGGCGCGCTGGCACAGGCGCCGAAGGGCAAAGCTGCCCGAGCGCCCCTTCTCGAAGCTGCAGAGGCTCGAGAGGTTGCCCCCGATCGAGAGAACTCTCCTCCCGTGAAGGCCGACGCACCTCGAGGCCCGCACCAGGCCCATGAGCAGCACGCGGCCCTCCTTCTCATGGATGACCCCCTCGTGCTGCCACGCGCCCTTGATGACCATCGCCCAGCGCTTGCTCGCGAGCAGCGCGTCTGGCAGCGGCGGGATCCCCACCTCCTCGGCCGGCCGCTCCACGGTCTCGATGTCGCGCCACGGCCGGCAGCGAACCGCAGGTCCGCCGCCGAGGTCGCGAGGGCCGCCACCGAGGGACCCTGCCGGGTCTGGCGAGGCTCGCCACTCGGCCGACCAGCCGCCCACGGCCCCCCAGCCATCGTCGCTCCGCTCGACCGCGTCGAAGCGCCACCGCTCTCGGTAGCGTGCCACGGCCCGAAACTCGGGTCCAGAGACGGAGGTGACGTGCAGCGCGTAGCCCACGGCAGAGGAGTCGCCGCAAAAGGCGACGCTGGCAGGCTCTGCGCTGAGACGGGCCTCGGCCAGGAAGACGAGCCAGGAGGACACTTCCAGCTCCCACCGGACGGACGCCCACAGGCGAACCTCCTTGCCGCCGCTCTCGCACATGAAGGACCAGACCTTGTCGAGCGCCGAGAGCCCAAAGCGCAGCAGCTGGCAGTGGTGCACGATGTGGCCGACCAGAACCTGCAGGACGAGCCCGCTGCAGCGGCCTCGGCGCAGCACGGCGCGCAACGCCAAGTGGAGCCGCCAAACGCGCCGAGGCTTAGGACGTAGCAGACGACGCCGGCCATCAAACTCCACCCCCAGCAGCTCGAGCGTCTCGGCGGGAGAGTTCTCCTCGTGGTAGTGCAGCCCGCTCTTGTCGAGGTCGCCCTTGACGGCGTCCAGGGCGCGCTGCGTGGCGGCTCGGCTGAGCCCGATGACGTTGGCGTTGTCGACGTACGGCAACCGGTAGGCCAGCTCGGGCCGCGGCGCCTCTGGCGCGTGCCGATCCTGCAGCAGGCTCGTCTCCGTCCTGCCCGCTTCGGAGGTGATGGCGTGGCAGAAGTGGAGCGCCCAGGACCACCCCATGGGCAGTCCCTCGAAGACCGGGAAGAGCATCTCGTCCGGTCCCACCGGCACGAAACACTCCCGCTCCTCGTCGAAGATCTCACTGACCCCCCAGACGTCAGCGCGCTCGGCGAAGTCGATCCCGAACAGCGAGCCCAGCTTGCGGTTGCGAAACTGGTAGAAGCCATTGTACAGGTCGACCGAGGCTGCGTTGACGTTGACCGGCTCGTCCGAACCGACCGAGCTGTCTGAAAGGTCGAGGGACCCGAGCGCCGCCACGGTCCCGAGCCACGTGCGCGGCGGGCGGCGACACATACGGTTGGCCTCCCTCGCGTCG